GAGAGAGAGAGAGAGAGAGAGAGAGAGAGAGAGGGAGAGGGATACAAGCTTCGCGATAATGATTTTGTTTAGTCTACAACACATCGCCTCGATGTAGTCCTGCATGTATAATCTCATCCAGCAAGCATGGCTGAGCACACACCCACACGCGCACACACACAGGTGAACATGTCACCGCTGACCTCTATTTTTAGACATGAATGTGCACACAAGCATGTAAGCATATAATTCTGCTCTCTCAAACAGCCGTCTAGCTTCGTAGCTTTTGTCCAAAGCAGCTGATTCCACTAAAAGCTTCTTTTTTGTATAAATAAAACCCATCAATGTGTTTTCCCTCCTTCAAATACAAAACAGGGATGTTGGCAGGTGTTAAAGTGTCTCACTTTGCTCTCTACTTGTCCTTAACTGTCCCCCCGAAATCTCCCTCCATCTTTGCATCTCCTGCTATCCCGCAATAAACATTTCAGACTGCAACAGACCCTGATAGTGTATGTTCTCCAGACTGAGGGATAATGTATAGCTTGAATTCTCTCCAGTTTCTAATGAGGTTTCCATTTATCACTTTAACCCCGTCATTCAGTCTCTCCGTCTTCCTTCAGCCCCTCTCGCCGTCCCTCTCCTCATTGTTTATTGATGGAGGGAGGGAGCAAATTCTTGAGCGGGAGTGCAGAAAACAGATCCATAACAGAGAAAGCTACTTTACATGACGCTGAGGGTTAAAAATAGGGGTTGTATTTTGGGAACAGATCAGTCATGTGAGGGAGGAGAGGTGAAGGATGGATGAACAAGATGAAAAGAGAGATGAGGGATGGAATGAAACGCTGAATTTTCAAAAACGTGTAAAAAAAGAGAAACTTTCATCTCAGACTTCTCTTTCACTTTGACCCCTCACTGAAACCGATCAAAGACGGGGATGAATGACACAGGGAGTGGCAGAAGAGCAGTAATGTAGAAGCGACTGCTTGTGTTACTGCTTGTTGATCGGCCTGCAATAATATCTAATTACAGGTTAGGACAGGTGAAGTCTTCAGACCAGCAGTCTATGGTTAATATATAGGCAGATGACGCACAGAGATTAAGCTGACATGGATAACAGATACGTTTGATTTGGGTCAGACCAATTCTCATTACTTATTTGTTGGTAATAGTAGTCACAAATTACTGTTCAATTGGCACGATCTCATGAACCTTGCTTAACCGGACATTGAAGAAAAAGACACTTTGTGCGTATCGGTGACCGGTAAACACAACACTCGAACACGGGTGACAGGTAATCAAATGATTATCTCGAGGATATCTATGGCCGTAACATGCAATCAGGCTTTTGTGTTGAGTCCGCGTCAAACAGGATGCTTCAACTCTTTATGCCTGTAGTGCGTTGTGTAAAAAGGTATCTGAGACCTCACCAGCACTTTGCCGCTGTTCTTGTTCTTTGATTGATAAGTGTTCACTGGACCATCGGCCAACCTGGCTGTTGTGCCTCGTTCCAGATGTTTTGGAGATTCAGCATCCTCTCTCTCTGGTTTTCTTGTCTATTCTTTCAGAAATGTCTGATGTCAAAGTTAAGAAATGGTATGGTCCACTTTAGGGGTGTCTGATACTTATATTAAAAGATTCTTTCAGGCATAAATATGGGAAATATATTGCAATATTTAATTGCGGACAGGTAAGAAAAATATATAAATGTGTTGACACCCCGACCAGGTTTTTTTTAACCTCTTTTGGGATATATATATATATATATATATATATATAGTGTACTAATTAACAACCCCCCAATCTCCCCCTGTGACTCAAACTCTGTCTTTTTACACTGTTGTATTGGTACTTTTGCTTAAGTCAAATATCTGAATACTACTGCTCGGGTGGTCCTATCTGTTTGGAGACACCTGAAAGTTCATATATGTTTACAATCCACCTGTAATATCGTCATCCACATTTTCCATCTTTTACTTTTGTATGATGGTGGTTTATTTTGGACACACAGCATCTACTGTATGCATGTCCTCTGTTGCTCAGGTTTCTTCCATTTCTTTCTCTTTAAGTTTTTCTGGGGGGAGTTTTTCCTTTATCAGAATTGTAAAGCCCTTTAATACACATTTGTAGATTGTAATATTGGGCTATATCAATACAGATGTTGAGATGACCTCTTCCCTAAAAGCTTTGAGTGGGCTGCACTTGAGGAGGCTGACTTCTAAAGTTCATTAAAAGTATCATTATGAAGACGCTGTGGAGCAGCTTGATGCTGCATGCAGTTTGTTCGAGGCGCCCTCTGGTGGAATTAAATGGACAACAAAACACCCTCAGTAGGAAATTTAATCATATTATTCAAATCGAATGCCAAATGTCTAGACAGAGTTTTCTCTCGTCAAAACTTTCAAAGACACAAAGTATTTTAAAATGACATTTTTGCAGAGTAGTATTGTGGTGGGACATTTAGAGGTAAGTGTCCCTCGTAACGTAAAGGCAAATAGAAGTCATGATTACTTCTGTTAAATCTACTGTACACATTTACGAGGAAACATATAAGAATTAGAAGATTGGCTACATAACAGCTATAAAATAGTAAAAAGTGACATTTTTTTAGACATTTTAAAACACACAGTAAGATATTGCAACAAAATTAGTTAATAAAATGTAAAAACATTTTTTTGCAGAGATTCAGTGTTCGTCACCAAACTGCATTGTGTTTACCTTTTAGCTCTAACAAATGTGTTGAATGCATTATCTTCATCAAAAAACATTTGCAACGCAGATTGTTTTTTTTTTTTTATCCTGCATTGTTTATGTTTCCGAGCTAGCAGTCACATGATCTTTAAGAGCTACTCGAGAAAACTCACACAATGGTACATTTAAGTCTTTGGCTACACCAACAAGCAATATGCCGTAACTCGTTTCTAATGAACTCACAACCAATACAAAGTCTTACAGCATGAGGCTATTCTTTGTTTGTCGTATTGTCAACAAGACCAAAACCAACAATGTGTTAATCCGTCTCTCAATACCTTTTTGGCTCTCAGCCACAAGCCGCAGCTTCAACTCATACAGTCTGAGGGGCGCTGAAGTCGAGCGTGGTGTATTTGGCAGAGTTGTCAGTTCGGTCTGCTGAGATGTCACTAGTCCAGCTACATTACACGCCTGTTGCATCTGATGAAAATAAATGCATTGGTGGCATTTTAGGCAACCGAATGCCTCCGATCACATGATGGGTATGGAATGAATTGAAATTAGTATCACTTTAAGGGTACTAATGGTGGAATTTTTTTTAACAATTCCCAGCCCTTGTTACCTGCGTGTTCATCATCCCCACATCATTAATACAGCAAAGTCCTTATGACAAGGCAGATGTGTTAGTGCTCATGAAGGAGTCCATCCAAGTTCAATAGCTGCTAAATCTTCTTCTGCAGTTATATTCTGAATCTGTCCTCTGATAAAGAAGACATCTATCCCCAGTGTGGCGTCACTATGGTGAGTGGCTCCCGGTTTTGTCCGTTGATTATCGGCCAGGGATTAAAGTACGGGTAAACAGGCTCTTTGAAATTTGCATTATAGAAGGTGAAGAGGTGGCTCATGTTTCCTGCATCGTAAAACCCAACGTCACCACGATTATAGTCCAGATAGACCCCCACCCTGCTGGGGGGTTTGGAGGGATATATCAAGCTCTCCTCCGAGTCGGTGCATGCCTCATAATCGCTTGTGCCGTCAGCGTTGTCCCTCAGCACCAGGGTCCAGAAACCATCGTCCGGGCAGAGGCTGATCTCATCCTTCCTGTTGACGGAGGCTGTGGCCACGCCCAGACCCCACGCTGTCTTGGACTCCACTTCCACCTCCCAGTAGTGTCTCCCAGAGGAGAAGGCCTCAGAGCCCAGGACGATGTTGTAGAGAGTAAAGCGCTCTGGGTTGTTGGGCAGGTTGGGCTGGATTTTTCCCACGTGAACGCTGGTGCGACACGGGGACACAGACAGGCACGGGTAGGCTGTGTCTGGGTCCAGGGTCACCGCTTTGACAGCTAAGAGGGCAACAAAAACAAAAAAAAAAAAAGAGTTAGAGATGGACCAATGCAACAACGACAACAAACGTGTGTCAACAGAGAATGACCCAAGAAAGACTCTTTGGCTGTGACCTTTAACAAGATACTGAATGCCTTCCTGCTCAATTAGTGTAAGACGAGCTTGATAAGAGCATCAGCTACATGGATACGAATGAAATATAAATGATACTGCGTCAAGATGCAACTCTATAGATCCAATAAATCCTTTACTGCAGTCTAGTGTTACGCAATCAATGTATGACATGTCATTGGCGCATGACCCAAAATAAGTTTTCATTGACAGACAGAACCTAGAAAGCAGATGTCATGCTTGAAAACTTCTCGACAGAGCAGGTTGATACAAGAAAATGCAAAGCACAAAAATGTCTTGTTATAGCCAACTATTTTATTTTTGTGGAGCACTCAATCGAATGTACATGTCAAAGTCAATGTACTAGTCATGGGGAGGACTACTACTCAGTATTTGGAAATAGTTGTAGAAAGTTGTCTGTGGCTCTGAAGGAGCTTTAAAGTCTGAAAAGGACTCAAGTGACTCCCAAGTGGGATCTATACTTGAGCTTGGAGACTGCAAATGTTTGACAGACACATTGTTAGAGAAGGATCCAGGTTTTTTGGAGTTTGACTAATATAAGTCAGCCTCTGCTGCATTATATGCTCTTGTGTGTGGGTTTGTATATCTATATCTATAGATATATACAGAATATATATACCTGGCTGAAAGATTGAGCTCATTTTCCTCCAGGTCCTGTACTGCAGAGGTCCCAGAAACTCTCCTGCCTGCAGATACTCACCCACCTCTGAGGGGCGCTCAAACAAGCTCTCAGCCCTGACGGAGAGAAAGAGAGAGAGATAAATTAAAGCAAAAGGTTTCTCTAGCCAGATCTGTGCTGCTCACGCGGGAGGTGTGGTCCGGGCGTTATAAAATGTCAAGAACATCTTGTTAGAAAAACATTATAGCATTCTTCTTTTGTTTTACTTAGAAAAGGTGACTGTTTAAGACTTGAGCAGCACATTGTGGCCTTTAAGTCATGTCTCTATGTCATATCTGCATTCAGGCCACCTCTTTAGGAAGAAATGTAAACAAGACACTGAAGAATCCTTTGTCCTTTAAGTTTGAAGTTGTCTTGGACTTTCCGCTTCCAGTAGACATGACAATGTGCGGCAAAGATGAAGCGCTATACCACAATCACGCCCCCACATCCTGTTTCAGCAACACGTACTTACAAAACAATGCATCATTTACTTTTGACTTTCGGCCTTTGATTTAGGTCACATAGAGATATAGGGGGAGAAGACCGAGAAAAGGATGAGTTGAAAGATTTTGATGATGCTCACCCTCCAATGAAATCTTTGATTCCCTGAAATAGAGCAGATAAAAACAAGCCAATGTTTACGAAATACATGCAGATAATATCTCTGACACTGCACTTCTAGAGTGTCACAATTTTCTGAATGCAACTGATATGGCTCTTTTTCCCCAGAATATCTGGGTATTATCATCTCTTATACCTTGAGTTGCTCTGGGTTTTCCTCTTCTGTCAGTTTGAGGCGAAGCTGGTCGGCCGTGCTTTCCATTTGGCTGATTTGCTCTGTGGTCTCAGTGAGCGCCTCCTCCAGCTGGTTGAGCTTCTCCTCCTTCTGCTTCTGCAGTTTCTCCTTTATGCGCTCTTCCTCCTCCAGTAGGAACTCCCTCAGACGGCCAAACTCTGCAGTGACCATCTCCTCCAGATCTCCTGCTCGATCCTGAAACACAGGGAGGACTCCCATCAGCAACAACATGGGAAAGAGTTTGTGAAGTTTCAACTCTAGGCCAAAGTAATCTCACTTAAACATGCAAATTAAACTATGCACTACATGCATCCACTACTCTTATTTCATTACAGGCCAACACTTGACTGAATCACCTGTGGATTAAAACTGCTGCTTTGTTGCACTTTTGGAAACCAGATGAAAGGAGAAAGTTAAATATGTAGGAAGAGGCCTTGTTATTGACTGTGAGGGACTGACACCAAACCTGCAGGTACTTTTTGGTATTTATATTCTGTTATTCCGTTAGTTTTTTTAGACAGGTTCATTTGCACTTTTGTATATATTTGATACATTGTATTTCAATTTCATGAGACTTTCACTGGTTTCACTGGTTCACAGGTTAAAATGCCAAAACATTATATAAATTACTTAAAATGATCTCCACCTCAACCAACTACAAGAGTAAAATGCTACCGACACATGAATGCATTAACATTAATAATATGATAATATAAAGCCTAATATACAATCCACTGCGGATTTATTTTTTGATATTTTGTGCCTAACACTCATGTACTTTTACTTTTACACTCCACTGATTTAGCATCGCAATCCTGTAACATTGTCGGACAAAAAGATCCTCAAAAAGAGGTTAAAAATTGAAGCAGCATAACCAGAGATATCGTCCTTTTCTTATTCAACACATTCCACGCTTGCATTACCCACAATGCAACTTGACCACTAACGGTTCGATAAGAGATGCAGGTGCGTTATGTTAGTGGTAGCTAATGTAGCCTCGAGTGGCTAGCCTCAGGCAGAGGTGAGGGGCGGACTGCAGAGGTCTGGTAAACTCCCTTTGAAACTTGAGGACATTCATCAGACTAAACTGATGTTTTTGTGGCTCCTTCTGGAGCCACAAAAAGCTTGTTTCACATATGCTGCAGTAATCCCCAAGACCTGTGGAGTTCCCCTTTAAGTAATATAGTGAATGTGAGGCTTTTACTTGCAACAGGGGTTGTTTGACTCTGTTGTATTGGTGCTTTAATTTAAGTAAAGGATAGAAATACTTAATCAAATCCTAAAACGGGTGGATAGACAGGCAGCCAGGAAAAATAATAAGCCCTTACACACACAGATTGCCAAACTTCCTCTCAAACTTGTTGACCCACATCCTGTCACGCCGGCAGAGAAACAAAGAAGTGAAAATCTATGAACGTGCACATGAACTGGGCCAAACAGACAGACAGCGAGACAGACAGACACACACAGGAAAATATGGATACTGAGACATCCAGACAGACTGACGTCCAGACAGAGAGGATAGAGAAAGACCCCTTAAAGTAGCCTGAAGCACAGATAGGTGTAGTTATCTGCTGCAGCAGAAACACTCCAGCAAAGCAAACACATATCTCTGTGTAGCACACACAGGATCGCACAAAGAGACCTCTATTTGAGGAGTGCTGCTCCCAGCCAAAACTCAACCAGCTGTTATCTCTTTCTGCGAGGGCGTGTTGCATAGCTATTGTACACTCCATTTGTGTGTGTGTCTCGCCTGTGAAAAAAGAGATTGCGAGAAAGACAAACAGGACTTGACATGCATGGATGTTGATTAATCGTGTGTTTCATTTCAGGAAGGATCTCTGCATTTGCAAATACATGAGAACCATCACGTTCAAACAAACAGCGCTGACTAACAACCTGTTGTGTCACCGCCAGTCATAACTGGGACGAGTCACCCGTCCGACACGTCTGTCAGACAGGTAAAGGTGAAGGAATGCAGGTGAATGTTGCTTAGCGACGAGAAATTCTGGTTCTATTCTCAGACACACACACAAACAAACACACACGTAGACATATTGCTTCGCTAGGATTACGTCCAGTATATATTTCCGGTCTTTCACTATGCTTCACTAACAAATACACGCGTATCTCGATACCTTGGTGAGGAGGATCTTTTCGTTGGTCTGCCTTTGGAAGAGCGTGGCCTCCTCGGTCTGTAGCTCAACCCTCTCTAGAGCGACAGACAGCTTATCCTGCAGGAGAAACAGACAATCACATGCTAAACATCGCTGAGAGGTGGTGTCGCTTAACCGGATTAAAGTTGATCAGCCTCTGCTCTGAACAACAACATCATCTTTGATGGGAGTCATATGATGGCCACCCTTTCCTCAACTGACTGCTCTGACCCACTAATTCAAACAAAACTGGAGACTTCAGTGTCAGTGAAGCACGAGAGGCCTCTCTCTTCAAACAAGCTGATGCTGGTCAGCAGCAGTGTTAAAGTGCAGGGGAGTTATAGGAATTCACACTATTCTGCTGAATTCCTGTAGAGACACAATGTACCAAAAGGCTCCCGAGGGAGAACGGGTAGTCTGCTTTTAAAAATGACTGACATTTCACAGCATCTGCTCTGTGGCGTGTTTATTTATTAAACTCAATCTTAATAAACTAGATTTCGTTTGACATTTATGAATGTTTGTCGAACTTGAGGATACATTGATTCTGGAGAACAAGGAGAGCGTGGCACTCCCTAAAACTTTAGACTTAAAGTTACGGTGATAAATAATAACATTGATTAATGATATCAGGATAGCCATCACCAATTATCTAAGAAGTTGGTCCGTGTAAACTCTATCAGATGAGATTTTTGCCATACCTTGGGCCTAAGAAGACTGAGCCCTATCTAAACTCAGCCAATGAGAAAGTACCTTGTAGTTTTCAAAGGCCTCGATAATGGGGATGACATTGTGGGTCTTGTGGTCCCTCGACATGCCGCACACCAGACAGATGGGCAGCTGGTCGTCCTCACAGTACAGCTTCAACCTCTCCTCATGCTCCTCGCACATATCCATATCCATACCCAGGCGCGGCCAGTGCCCGATGGACGAGGCCACGCTGTTCATGCTGGACCCGGGCTCCCGTTCCTCCGGCTCCTCCAGCGCACCTTCACAGAACCACCCGGTAGTCCCCGCGGCTGTGTCCATGGCCCGGGCTCTGCGCACGCTGTCCACGACGTTGCACAGAAGCGAGTTGGGTCGCAGCTTACGGCCGCTCGACTTTCTGCACTTGGGGCAACTCGACAACTCGTCCGCCTTGGCTTCCCAGCACTGGATGATGCACAGCTGGCAGAAGTGGTGCCCGCACTCGAGGATCACCGGATCACGGAAGAGCTCCAAACACACCGGGCAGGTGAGCTCCGACTGTAGTTCCTCAATCGCGTTGGTGTCCGCCATTCTCGGCGCACATAGTCCTTAAAGAAAGAAAAACACGTCTGATGGCAACACGGTGAAAGAAAAGAGCGCTCTTCTTCCGTTCACACCGAGGGAGGGAGTGGTCTGAAGCTGACAGCACAGCGAATGTTTTCACGGAAGGCGTGCAGCAACAGGCTCGATGAGGCCGACGGAGCTGCTGCATAACCGGGAACTCAAATGTTACTTAATTAAGTTAATGTTGTGATCTCATTTCTCATTATTGAGGAAATATAGTCACTACTTTCTCATAAATCGCCCCTTACAAAGACAACGTGTCTTACTAATGCCGTAGAGAACAATCGAAAGCATTAATACAAAGTAATAAAGGGTAATAAATAATCAAGATTATAATGTTAAGGAATCATCAATCAGTGCGTCAAGAGTTCTCCCTTTCTATGAAGCCAACAGCAAAAGTTAGTAAATCATCTTTAATTCTAAATGTTAAAACACATATTGGGTTAATATAGTTTTCTTTTTGCACAGTTTTGCAGTTGCACATTTTAAGAAGTTGTTGATAAATAAAGTTTGGTCCAAATGCTCATCTGACGCTGAGATCAGAGGTCAAACGTCCTTGTGTGTGTATTCAGTGTTTCTCAACAGTGGTGAGTTGCAGATTGCAACCGACTAAATACTCAACCCTCCCTGTCCGGTCATGTTGGAGGAGTTATGGATGGTTAGCTTTAGGATTGTAGGAGCTACTCTTATCTATACTCTGTTCTTCTACATGTCTTAATATTTGCCTTTAAAAAAACTATATAGAATTTTAAAAACAAATAAATTCAGAACAGGAATATAATTAATATTTAAAATATATCTAAACAATGTGTATAGAGCAGCAACCGTTTTGTTTACAACAACAAAGTCACTATATACAATAATTAATATCTCACTGGAAACAAATGCAAAATTGTATTAAAATAAATAACCTTTCCTGTCTTCTGTCCACCTGGCTGCTTTTTCTCAGCCAGCAGAGAAGTTTACAAGAACAAACTAACATAAACACATAAAACCTCAGACAGACAGCTTGTTTTTAGCTTGTTTATAAAGCAAAATGTAAAAAGCTTTTGGCCGGTTGTTCATGCTGTGCTTGTCTAAACATAGCGACAGTGGCCGATTGAATTAGGTTTCACTTTTGTTTACATGTTCACAGGTACAGTGATAAAGTATTGCCTTTTTACTCGCAAATACTTCATTGCACGTACAGTAACGAGCATAGTTACCGTCAACTCGAGTATATCTTCACTTCACTGGTTCACTTGAACTCAGCGATATGGTGGTGCAAGACAGCGGACTCCGAGGAAGACGACCCGCTCCCTAGGTAGATATAAATGGCTTTTTCTAAGCTAACAAAAACACTACGGTTCTTAGTTTCCGATGATTATACACTGATTAAAACATAGTTATGAATAATTTATTTAATCTCCCTAAATGTTACTCTTAAATGTAGACTGACACTATTCCCTTATATTTTTGCAAACTTTTTGTATTTATGTCTGCATATAGGCTAACACACTCACTTTGTATTCAAGTTGCTATCGCTATTTGCTACTTGTGTCCACTTGCTGTATTTGTTACAGTAACTCTCATGTAGCATTAGAGGAGCACATATAGGTCAGCTTTAATAAAGGCTCATTAATTGTGCTGCAGAGTACAATCTTACTTCAACAGGTAAGTTGCCAGGTGTTTAGTTTAGGTTCCCAAACACACCCTACAGCCTCTGAGTCAGACACACAAAACAAAGAAGAAGAAAGGAAACTAGCTGACAGAGTAAAAACCAGGAAGGGAATGTACGAGCGAAGCTATTCAAATTTTTGTCTTTGCTGCTTTTGGGCGAGCAGGGGAGTGTCTTTTATCTTCATTTTTTCTACATAAGTCTATTTTTTTATTGTCTTCTCTTATTATATGACATTATATGAAAAAACAGGTACACCTAAAAGACGGCTCCCATGCGCTCAGCACTCATTAAGGTGTGTTTTTACATGCAGAGGATCAATGCTGTCTCTGTATGAGGGCTTCATTTGTCATGGTGTATTTATCCTTGTGACTATTTAACAGGTAGATAATGTCTGTTTATAACAGACAGTCAAACATCTAAGGCTACAACATGAAATATAGGATTCAACCCCCCCCCAAATATTTCATCACTGTTAATAAGTAGCAGCTCTACTCTGTGTGGAAACAGAAACTGTGGTAGTTCCAGGTCGTCCACAGGTTACGGCTCGTCACCAGTGACCGTAAACACAGCGTTATTACTCACAGTCCAACCACCTTCACTGAGCTGACCATTATTAACTTCTGTGTCCTGGATAGTCAGGCTGCTTCCAAGTGTCATGTCTCTGAGTGCTCACTAGATGGCCATAATAAGCAGTCTAGCGCCCACAACTTAAAGATAAAATGAAAGATTCATACAGTCTGTACTCCTTTCATCCTTGATCGTATCCTGTAATTTCTCCTCAGGCAACATATTTATAACTAAATGTTCAGGCACTGTTATGCTAAGAATTTCTAAATGTGTCCAGAATATCCCCATTAGTCCTGGCAGGGTGTATTGAAAGGAGCAGATTTCAGATTTCCACCTGCAAGAGGCACACATAACCGTTCACTAATCACCAGTTAATGCATAAATATGTTATTGATGAGAGGCAGAGGGAGATGTTAAGGAAAGTCTCCATTTAAGAAGCTAAAATGACAAAAAGCGTGTCATGAGCCCAGAAGGTGATCTAATATGAGATTGTTTGTTTGTTTTTTTATCATTCCTGGTGACGCTAGTATTGATACTCAAAGACTTGGTATCAGTGATATCAGTACTTTAGGTATAGATCCACCCACCCCTGTGAACATCATGGTCTCAAATCTACCTCTTGTCCTTCATTTGTAGTGTGCATCACTCTGGTTTCCCCCATATTTACATCCTCTCTGCCATCTAACTATTTCTGAATACTGTTAAAAATATCATTTTTATGACAAATTGGACCAGATGGACAGAAACTGAGGATTTCCCGCACTTAACTTAACAGTTGAGTAATAATGGAAGTACTGTACGGAGCATGTATATCTTCCGGAAAACATGTGTGGTTCCCACAATGAAAGAAAAAACTACACAGAAACTGGAGAGACAGAAAATGAAACTTGCTGACTTGCCCAGAGGATTATGCTTGTGTCATGATATCAAATAATAAGAAACAACTTTTAAGGACAATGCCACATGAATGCAAGAATTAAAATGAGTTTTTGCACCTCACAAACATCTCATTATAATCCATGAAAAGCCTTTGCATCGTGCAAGTCACGTCTAAGTCTCCCATGATGCTTCATCTTTTTAGACAGTGTGAGAAAGCTGCAGACAGCAGCTTGGCTGAAAAATGCTGAAATATTCAGCAATAAAAACCTGGTCCTGGAGAGAACATAGACAGCATCAACCAGAAACTGCACCAGTGCATAAGCTTTTTAAAATTTTATTTCTGGCATTTGATGTGGAAGATGTCTATTTAAGAAGCTTATTTATTCTCGTTAAGAATATACAAGGTCAGTCTTGATGCTCAGTTAACGTTTTGGAGTTCCCCCTCAATTTATTTGAAACAAAATGATTAACACCTCAGCTGACTAATGAAAAAAATAATATGCAGTGCAATTGCTTCCCCGAAGGCCGCCTGACTGCTTGTTCGCAGGGGAAGTTTGATATGGGTATGGGGGTGGGTTACTCTCACCCAAAGGACTGCTGCTTTCAGTATATATAAGAGGAACCCTCAAACGCCTATACTCCAGACGCTGAAAGGACACAAAGGAGATATAGGTTTTATTAAACTCTGGAGCTTTGTCTGGGAGGAAGTCCGTCAACAGAGTGTGTGTCCGCGAGCATCTCTTTCCAGACCTGCTGCTCTGTTGTGAAGGATGTCACAAAAGAAGATGCTGCAATGCTCCACGGGAGCTCTGCTTCTTCTCCTACCCTGGTTCGGTGGCCTGGTCCTTGGAGAGATCAGCAACGACTTCTCCCAGTGCCTTGATTTCTTCTACAATAAAGCCCCACCAAAGGGTGTCGGTGCAGCAGGGTACCAGCCAATATGCCAGCGCCACAAAAACCAGTACCGCTTCGCCAGCCTGTATCACCGGCAGCATCGTTCACCACTCTACTCCGCGTACGTACTCGGTCCTGCAGATGGCAAGCGGCCCAAATCTACTTGGATGTTTGAACCTCAGGTGAGTAAAACAGTGTTCAAGAGCAGACACTTTGTTTATGACTAACTGTATTCTGTTGAGCGTTACTTTGTTCAGTGTTTACACGTGCTTTGATTATACACCCAGTTTAGTACATTTATATGCATTAAATAATGTTTATTATTATTTTGTCCACCCCATTTAAATCAATGAGGGTGGACGAAATAACAGAAACGGCATCAAAAACTACATCTTTAAAAGTTGAACCTCTCTAAAATCTTTATTATTACAACCTTCATGGTAGAATTTGTTGAAGGACTGTTGTGTTGTGCTGCATTACTTTAAGATAGCTGTACTTAATAAAGTGGAAACAGAGTTTTCACTTTGATTAAATAGATTAGCAGGAAAAATAGTACAAAAAATACAAAAAAATATCGTCATTCCGGTGTAGATCTATTTAGAATTTATGTTTATGTTTTAAGGCTACTATATGATGGAGAACACTAGTAGTTTCTGTTTAATTTAAGTATTGTTGTCAATGTGTGATTGGTGCAATTAAGTTTGAACCTTCAAGCAGTAACCGTAAATACAAAAATGCTTCCACACACACACCATCTTTTCTTTGGAGAAGTAAGAAAGGAAAGTGGGAATCGTAAGTTCTGTTTTAATTTTTATTTTTCAAGCTACATGAGTGCATCAGTCACACACACAACTATTATACTAAAAAAGTGATATATCCTTCTCTCTTTTGCTGTCATTCAGTTGGCGTTTTCCTGTGCCAGCTCAGAGATGCAACCCTTCCATACCCCCGTGGACCAGAATGTGATTGAGAGCCAGGCGGTGTTTGAGGACTACAGGAACTCCAACTTCACCAAGGGCCATCTCAATCCCAGCATGCACCAGAAGACAAAAGAAGACCGGGAGGCCACCTTCACGCTGACAAACGTTGTCCCTCAGCGAGCGGGCTCCAACTCTGGAACGTGGAATGGTCTGGAGAATGAGGTTTTAAGAAAATTCAAGGCCTTCTGCAACGGGTCGATGCATGTGATCACCGGAGCCATGCCTTATGAGTCTGAAGCGCGCTCGATCAATAACAGGGTGTCTGTTCCTGAGTACATGTGGTCCGCCTACTGCTGCCCATCCTACAGATCCGACCTTCCTGAGTCTGTCAAGCCCTTTTTCCCCACATATGCTGCAGTGGGAAGGAATGACCGCAACAGTGGAGAGGAGATTGTGCCAGTTAATGTCAAGGCGAGAGCCTCGGTGAGGGGCTACGATGTGAGGCGCATGTCTTTAGAGACTCTGGAGGGCATCTTGAAACAGAGGCTGGCCATGACCATCACTCTGTTTCAAGGACAGTGTCAGTAGCAACGGTTAAAAGCTTTAGTTCCTTGCTTAAGTCAAACGTTAACTGTTATTGGTGTGCACTGCAGTAATCACCATGTACAGCACATCTTGTTATCTTTAATTACTGAATGAGCGTTTGATTAATGAGGACATGAAATTAATTTTTCCAATGATTAAGATTTTTTAAAACACATATTGTCTAACCAAATGATTTTACTCATGAAACAAGAAATAAATGGGTGAAGAGCCTTCTGATGATTTTCTTTTGATTAAGTACTCACTTTTTTCATACAAATAAAATGGTTGCACATTTCACATTTTGTACTCTGCGTATGTACTGCAGCAGGCCGCCCAATGCCAACAGGATGAAAAAGTACAAATTACTGTCTGACATGCTAGAGCAGTAATTACCTTTTCGGAAAGACTGTGTTGAATGTGATTTTGCCAGATCATTTTTTTTAGATTAGTTGTCACCTTAGCTACAACTCCAGGGACATACTTCCCTGTATGTCTGGATTAACCACGTATCCCACTATCTGTGCTAGATGCAGTTTTCCTACATGGCTCCAGGCTGGCTGTGTGGTAGTTTAAATAAACAGAAAATGTATTCAGGGCTATGTTACATTTATGCACAAAACTGAAAGAAATAAGGTCTTGAAACTCAATTCTGACACAGGAACCATTTTCGGGACTGGCGGGGCCTCATGCGGGACCAAGTCTAAGTCGCTTATTATCAGTTGATTGTTTTAGTGGTGCATCTTCCACAAACTAATTTCCATTTAAATCATTTAAAGCCTGAAGCTTTTGGGGCAACTGGAATTCTGGTGCCCACTTTGTATGATTAGTAATCCAGCTTTGCTTTATGGGGTCGATATAAAATGATAGTAAAATTAATAAATGTTTACTTTTACACTATGCTTAATAAATAACATGTCACCATTGTAGCCAAAACAATTTAAAAACAACGAATAAACTACAACAGAGCATTGAAACAAACAAAAAATATAAAATAGTTTGGACACCGAAACTGAAAAGGATAAGAATACTTTTGTTGAGCGATTTTTCAGCCCTTTTCACTTTCCATAGCCCAGTAAGGTAAACCTGTCTCTGTCCAGCGATAACAAAGTCTAAAGCTAATTAATTAGCATGTTAGCCTATATTTAGCTTGACCAATCTGTACAAAGACTCCACAAAGTCAGTATGCCAGGCCACAAAATAGCCCACATAAATCTAAGAGTTGTTGCTTTTATACAAAAATAAATAAAATGAGATCAAACAAGTTAAATGGTTAGCTTTAGCGGTGTCTGGAGCACACAGTATCAATACCAGATAGTTCCTGAGCACATGTGGTCGGCCTATTGCTGTCCCTCTTACAGATCTGACCTCCCTGACTCTGTGAAACCCTTTTTACCCGACATATGCTGCAGTGCGAGAGATTTACCGCAACAGTGGTGAAGAGATTGAGCTGGTGGATCCCAAAGCGTGCGAGGCTGATGTGAGACGGATGTCCTCAGAGACCCTCGAGGGCATCTTGGAAATAAGGCTGAAAACCCAAATCAGTCCGTTTAAAGAGCGCTGTGAGTAATAAAGGGTGACACGCTCCAGTTAACTTACCTGCACACAGTTCATCTTTCATAGCCAGGGCTCTTATGGGTCACTACGTACAGTCCTAGTGTCGGGTCAGACCCAGTCTTAAACAGACTCCTTCACTATTTAATTACTAAATAAATGTTAAATGTTGTCTCTGGTGTGGATGGTTGGAAATTAATATGATCTTGCATGTTCACTAACCCCATGGTTTTCCAATAAAACACTGAAATGGATGAAATGCCTTCTGATAAATTGAAATATTTATTTCTGATTGATATGGCCAAAACACAAACATACAAAATACCAAGCTGTCAATTATATTGTCTGGCAAATAACAAGGGCACCGGTTGCAACATGAGTGACTTATTGATAAAAAAGACAAAGATGTACAACTCGATCATAATAAATAAGTACAAGCGTTGTACACACAAATGAGACCACCTCAACATAAAATGGCTGAAGAATTAAATATAGAGAAACACCAGGTACAACTGACTTCCTGTCTACTTTGGACATTTGCCTTCTTTATTTACTCTACAAAAAACGTCCACAGTACGTCTTCATTTTAAAAGTTTATTTGACTGTCAGAGCGTGTACGAAAGGCAACTCCAGATCGCTGAGAGTAAAATTAGCATCCACCGTCGGTTGGCATTAATCACCTGAATTCTACCACATTCAATTATAAAACCCGCTTTTTCTTTCCAGTTCCGTCAGACATTTGAAGGAGAGGCTCTTAAAAACACTGGTGGTTTTTCAGTTGCTCCACATCACTGAAGCCGCTTCCACAGTTGGAGCACTGGAGTGCCGCCTTCTCGCTGCTGTGTATGAGTTGGTGTCTCTTTAGGTACTCCACGCGACTGAACCGCTTCCCGCACGCCTCACACCCGTACGGACGCTCCCCGGTGTGAATCCGCTGGTGTCGTTCCAAATTGCCCAGACGACTGAAGGTGCGTCCACACTGAGGGCACCGGTGCGGCCTCTCGCCCGTGTGCACCAGCTGATGCCGCTCCAGCGAGCGCGAGTGTGTGAAGCGCTTCCCGCAGATCTCGCAGCAGTGCGGCCTCTCGGCGGCACACGCGCACTCGTGGTTCTTCAGGGCCCAGGCGTGGCTGAACGTGTTGCCACAGTGGGCGCACGGGTAAAGAATGTCCTCTCCACTGTCCTGTAAATGAGAGGCTCCCAGCGGACAAGGGTGCTCCTCCACCTCGGCCTGTGAGGTGAAGCCTCCGCCACACTGTGGGCAGAAGTGGAGTAAGTCTGCGCCGCCCTCCTCTTCCCCTCCGCTCTCCCCGACACTCCCTGGAGCACACAGGTGGGGCAGGTGCGCCGACTCTCCCTGCTCCGACACATCGTCTCCGGTCACGACCTCAGCCGAGTCGTCCTCTTGCAACTCTCGTGACCTCGGCTCCCCTCCGGCCCTCGCGGCGTCTTTCGCCCGTCCTTGCCCTATCTGCTCCTCTCTCTGCAGGGTGGGTGGCTCCAGCTCTTCGTCCTGCTCCATTCCATCGAGACCGATGTACTTGGGGGCCAGGCTGCTCTCGCTGCCTTGCTCTACCTCCGAGTCGGGGCTGACCGGCTCAGAGGCCGTCAGGGCGGCCTGTTCGCGGCCTCTCTCGGCCTTCAGTGCAGACTCCAGACCCCTCAGCTCATCCACGGTCATGCCCCCCTCCGACGGCTCTGCTGAGTCCGACTCCCAGTCCTCATCCTCTCCCTCTCCTGAGTGAAGGCTCGAGGGACGATCTGAGAGGTCTCCTGAGTAGAGACAAAGGGGGGAGGGGGAGGAGAGAGAGCTGGCGTGAGCAATCATTTCCACCATCTTTCAAACTATTCGCCCTCTGAACATTTCACTAACTTCCCCTCCCTCAATCAGTGTGTACTGGGCTCCTTACCTTTGCTTTGGGCTCTGGAGCAAGTGTGGAGGTTCGGGTTGGGCGGGTCCATCTTCAAAGCCTCCTTGATTAGCTGGAGAGAGGCGGGTTGATAACCCTCTGTTTGTGCAAACTGCATTGAGAAGCACAGAGACTGTAGTTACCAGGTAGTATAAGACATGTATAGTTACATTTGTAAGTGCTTTTTCCAAAATGGCTCCTAAACTTTCATGCAACACTCATCATAGCTAAACCTTTTTACAATGCTATACGATTGGTTATATTTATGTACGGGCATCAAAAACACCTTGTAATGACTTCACAGGGAGGCTAATAACACATTCTGCATGCTTTTGAATATTCAAGTACAGGAGACAAGTGAAGAGTGGATCTGTGCCCTGCCACTTGGTCACGTGGTGGAATAGCAAACAGCTTTTCACCTCTACAGTAGTATTTCCACCTAAAAGCTTGCCGCACTTGAGATGTGGAGAGCCCTCCTCAACGGGCTCCTCTGGAGGCTAAATATCAAATCAATAGCCTTCATCCACATCTCTGCAGTGATTTAAAGACTGAAAGACAACTATCTCTCTGTGTGTTAGCTTTCTATTTCATTCTATAAGAAGCCGCTGAGCAGTACAGAGATACTGTGCCAATTTCTCCTCCTCCTCCTCCTCTGAGGAAGCCTGTCTCCCTCACCTCCTCTTTGATGTTGGCAGTCTCCTCCCCCTCACCGCTGAGGCTGCCCTCCCCTTCCTCGTCCTCCATCATCCCTCCATCGTCCTCTTCATCCCCGGGGAACTGGATGAGGTACATCTCCCTGGCCTCCTTTCCCCCTCTTCCTTTTCCTCTTCCTCCTGCCACCATCCCCACAGCTCCCGTCCTTCCTCCTCCTCCACCTCCTCCTTCCTCCCACACACCTCCAGGCCAGCCTTTGCCATAGACTGCTGCTGGGCCCTTCTTTGACTTGCCTCCTGTGGAGAAGAGAGGAAGATGAGCGAATGGTGGGAGGTAGGTGAGAGAGTAAGGAGAACGTGAGGAGGAGGGCAGGAGAGAGGGAGGGCACGGGGAGACAGGAAGGAGAGAGAATGAAATATGAGGGGGTGAGAGAGAAGTGGGAGGAGATGATTGGAAGGCCAGGAGAGAGAGTTGAAGGAGAGAAGAGGGCGGAGAAGTGGGAGATGAGGAGGAGGAGGAGGAGGAGGGGGTTGGAGAAGCAGAGGGGAATAGGAGTAGAGAGGAGCTTGGGGGGAAGGGAGAAAGGAATAGGAGCAAGGGGAGGAGTGAGCATGATGAATGTGTGGAGAGAGAGGGGGCGTAGCAGGACAGACAAGAGAGCGGGAAGGAGAGAAAAACACATGAAAGGGAGGAGAAGAGCAAGAGACAGACGAGAGGGAGAAGTGGAGTTGGCGGGGGCAACGGGGGAGAGGAGGAGGAAGAGGAAAGGGAGGACATGTTGAAGGAAAAAGAGCAGGGGTGAGGAGGAAACAGTGAAAAGAGGAGAGAGAGACAGAGCAGAGAGAGAGGAGAAGTGGAGTGGAGAGGGAGTATGTAATTATGGTGGTGGTGGAGAGGAGCGGGAGTGTATGCAACGTGATGAAGGAGAGAACAGAGCAGGAGGAGGTGGGGGCAGGGAGAGAGGAAGGAGGCGAAGGCGGGGAGGAGAGAGGAGCGGTAAGGGGAGGAGGAAGAGTTGGAGAGAGAAGTGAAGGAGGTGGGGGGAGGGAGAGGAGCAACGCAGGAAGGGAGGGAGGGAGAGAGCGAGCAAAAGCACAGAGGAGTGGGAGGGACAGAATGCAGCGGAGAGAGAGAGGAGAGGGGGAGGTGAAGGACAGAGGGAGGAACATGAAGAGGAGGCGGAGGAGGAAGGGAGGGAGAGAGGAAGGGAGAGATCAGCTCTTGCCAGATGGTTTCCAACAAAACAAGTGCGTCTTCACATAAGCCCTGACTGCATAGCAAGAACCCTGTTTCTCACATCACACAATCCTACTGAAATATGTCAGCTGTTTCAGAAAGCAGAAAACCATCCTCAAGCTATACTTACGGGCCCCCTCAACTTTTCGTTTCTGCCGCCCTCCAGCTCCTTCTTCCGCCGCCGTCAGTCCGGCGTTGCGGCGGGTGGCCGCCCAGCCCATCCCGTACTTGCGCTCGGTCCTCAGCTTGGTCTCGGTGAGCCTCAGCCGCTGCTTGAGCGCGTCGTTCTCCTTCCTGTTGAGCGAAAGCTCCACCAGGTAGTCGTTCACCATGTCCTGGAAGAGCTTGGTGATCTCGCAGACCGAGGCTCGGATCAGACTGTCCATGACGGCCGTCAGATGCGTCTCAAACGTGGACACCGATTCCTCCATCATCGTGGCTCCCCACACGGGATCGGAACCTGGTGACGGGTTCAATAACATGTCATGAGTTTGCCCACTAACTTTCCCACTGTCGATTCTAATACATGACGTAAGTTATAGCCAATCGCATCCTTATCGCCAATGTCAGTTAACGTTACAAATATTAACTTAGTTAGCAGCTACACAATCTACATAACATCGTCAGTTAAGTGTGACAGTTAATCACACACAGTAGCATTACGGTGAACGTTATTCCACCCCTGTTATCATTTAATTAAAGACTGTACTGCCACTTTATTCAAGCCGTTGAATACCAAATACACGACCTGTGCCCGGTTAGCTTGTTGGTGAACTTGTATAGCGTTAATGTAAGTCGACACACAGTAATGCTCGATAAGGAGAGGAGCAGCTCCGTCTGGAAAGTGATCGTGCTAGCAGCTAATTTAGCTTCGAATACGAACCGTTCCTTGGATGAAATCCGGAAGAGTTAACCTAGACGTGAAACGGCGACAGGCTGTGTGATATCACGGATCGTGGATAATCTTGGTCGACGTTCATAAGCACGGAGACACGGTGACAAAGGAAGGCGCCATCTAACTTCTGTCCTCTCTCTCTCTCTCACCGTCTCTGCTCTTTCTCGTCTCCTTCAGCACTGCTCAATGATGCTTGAGAACACTGCGCGTGCGCATTACCGTAAT